TTGGGCTACAGCGGTGGGCAGAAATGGTCTCCATACTGTTCTAGAGATTTTTAGACTTTATTCTTTGGGTTTTGGAAAGTATTTGTGTCTGTGTGTATGTTAAACAGTTTTACTGAGATGTAATCTACATACTGTAATTCATCCATTTTAGTTGTACCATTAAGTGACTTTTGATAATACAGAGGTTTTCAACCATCATTACTACCCAGTGTTAGAATATTTCCATTGCCCGAGAACATTTTTGTGCCCAATAATAGCATGTCAGTCATTTCTACATTTGGCAAGCATGAATTTACTTTCTGTCTTTATAGATTTTCCCTTTCTGAACATTTCATATAAATGAAATAATGCAATATGTACTCTTAATTTGGATTCTTATAATTTTTAAACATTCATCCATGTCACATATTAGTAGTTCATATTAGTAGTTCATACCTTTCTGTTGCTGCAAAGTAGCTCATATATATGTATATCTCTTTGTTTATCTCTAGCATTTGATAGGTATTTAGATGGTTTCCAGTTTGGGCTATTATGAGTAATGTTGCTATGAGCATTGATTTGCAATCTTTGTGTCAACTTTGTGTTTTTATTTTTCTTGAGCACATATCTAGGAGTGGGATTACTAAGTTGTGTGGCTGATTTTCAGTTTATGTTTTTAAGAAATTTCCACTGAAGTTGGGTGTGGTGTCTCACGCTTGTAATCCCAGAACTCAGAAGGCTGAGTGAGGCAGGAGGATTGCCATAATTTTGAGGCCAGCCTTGGCTGCATAGTGAGTGCAAGACCAGCCTGAACTACACAGTGAGACCATGTCTCTAAAAGCAAAAACAAAAACTAACAAAAAATAAATTGCCATATTGTTTCCTAAAGTTATTGTACCATGTTTGTCCTGAGGATTTTTAAGAAGAAGAAAGATTTGGCTTTGCATTTGTGCTAATCCTGAAACCCACAAAATGCTCTAGCTCAGCATATGTTATGTTGGTATAGAATGGCTGAAGTGTTCAAATTCTAATCAGAAGATATCTTGTAAAATGTATTTTGTATTATATATTACATGGTCTCTGGACCATGAAAAAAAGACTCAGAAATAACTTCATCTGAGTGCTGTTTTTTTGTACGGTGTACCTAACTGTCCCACAGAGGGTGGCAGGTAGCAGAGGTCATTCCAAACTAGAGTAGTTTAAAAAGTCATTCAGATTTTTATTTTTGGGCACTGGGGATCGAACTCAGGATCTTGCACCTGTCAGGCAGGCCCGGTGCCACTGAGCTACATCCCTGGCCTGGTTAGATTTGTTTTTAAAGGAAGGTGTGTGCTTTATCCTAGGGTAGGGAGAACATTATAGAAGTGTTGGGCACGGAGATTGTTGGGAGATAGTTGCCAGAGTTAATTTGGGGTGAGACTGATATTCAAATTAATTTTGTCCACCAACCATGAAACAATGGATAAAGTGATTTCTGTCTCACAAAGGAAGTCATCTTGCAATATAAAATGCAGCTTGAAAAGTCCATCAAGTGCCTAAACAACAAATGAATTCTGAGAGATGACTATATTTTACTGGAATCAGTATTTCCCTTCTGAAGGAGAAGAAAATCCAGAATCAAATTAAATGTTAAAAGAGTAGTTTAACTTTTTCCAGAATCAGAGGTGAATGACATTAGAAAAGAGCAGGATTTTTCAGCTGGGCATGGTGGTCCACACCTGTGATCCCACGTCTCAGGGATGCTGAGGCAGGAGGATTCAAAGTTTGAGCCCAGCCTGGGCAACTTAGTGAGTTAGAAGGACCCTGTCTGAAAAATAAAAAGGGATGGGGTTATAGCTCAGTACAGGGGTCCTGCATTCAGTCCCCAGTATGACCCCTCGCCCACCTTACAGAAAAAAGAGTAGGTCTTTTCTTGAGCTCATGCCTGTTGATACTGTGAAAGGATGGCTCTCCTGTTAGTCTTCTAGCCTGAAGCTTCTGCCACTACCAAGTCTAGGCTGCCGGTTAAGGCAGGGCAGGGAAGAGTGGCAGTAGGAGCCGTGAGTGTGGTTCTTCTGGGATCCAGGATGGTTCTTTTGACGAAATGTGCCTCCCTTTTAACTTCTACTTGGCACATAGTAATTGTGCATAGGTAGGGGTTCTGTGTGGCCTGTGGTACAGGTGCACATGTGTAATGATCAAATCAGGGTAAGTAGCATTTCTGTCACCTGAAAGGTCAATCATTTTTGTTTTGGGAACGTTCAAAATCCTCCTTTGTAGCTATTTTCAAACGTATTTCACTCGTTAACTGTAGGCATCCTGGTGTGCAGCAGAACCTTACTTGACTCTTCCTATCTGCATTTTGGTGCGCATTATCCACCCTTCATTGCTGTCCTCCCTTGGCCCCTGGTGACCTGTGTTCTGCCCTCTATGTATATGAGATGCACATTTGTAGCTTCCACACACGTGCAAGCACACGAGGTATGTGAATTCTTGTGCCTGGCTTAGTGCACGTAACATGAGGTTTCCTTCACATTCATCCATGTTGCAGCAAATGCCAGAAAAGTTCCCTCCTTGCTGTGAGTTTCTCAGAACTTAAGCATGGAGACATCTTTTTTTTTCTTCCTTTCTCTGGTGACTTAACTGACACCCAGCAGCCTCTCTCGGACTATGGCTTTCAACGTGCTGGGCCTCATCTTTGCTTTCTTGTTTACCTTTACGGGGAAGGTGCGCAGGTATGGAGCTAGCTGTGTCCCTCACGCTGTGAGTGTGGCCTGGCATTTTCACAGACCTGTTCTGCAGAGCTGAGGCTTTAGCACCTGTCCATTTCCTCCAAGTGCACAGTAGATGTTCACTTTTGAGAGGCTGGACCGATCTTGCCTCAGGAGAAACGTTTGGTAGTGACTGGAACAATTAAGAGAGTCTTGTGGTCAGGTCTCCTGGCTAGTCTATGCAACTACTTTTGCTTTCTTTCCCAGAGTTTATTTATACACTCGCTCTGACATTTGTTCACGTTTCAGATTGTCCTGTGAGGTCATTATAAAGATTCTAAGAAGACCCTTTTACCCTCCCACTCAAGTGCCACCCTGCACATGGAGTGAGTTAGTCCAAGTTGCAGGAGAGATGTTGTCATTATGTTCAGCAGGAGGTTAGGTATGGGTTAGGCAAAGGCACAGAGATGATTTCATATTCTAAGCTCCATTATTTTCATTAACTGTTTCCTCAGATACCTTGAAATAGTAGTTACAGTTATGTAGAATTTGATGGTCTACAAAGACTTTACATGCTTGATCTCACTCCTCCCCTTCTCTGAGGTGGTTGGAAATACAAGGTGTGATGGGAAAATACAGTGAATGTTTAAATTAAAAAAATTACAGTAAAAGACACATCGCCACTAGCCCCACCTCAAAATACTTCCCTTCATTTTGAACACAATTATCTCATTGTTCTTGCCATTTCCTGAAGCTGTTCTGGAAGTCATTTTTCTTGAATGTCTTTAGTTGTGCTATTGTGGCTGCCTCAATGTCCTGAATTGATTGAAAATTTTTACCTTTCACTGTCATTTTGACTTTGGGAGGTTGCACAGTGCCAGATCTAGTGGCTAAGGTAGATCGGGACACACTATAATATTTTTACAAGCCTTTCTGTTGGATGGCACTCAGGTAGCAGCATTCACTGTATTTTTTAAAATCATATCTCATAAAGGCAAAAGAGGACTTCCAGAACTACTTTAGAAAGTAGCAAGAATGATGGAATACATTTGTTAGAAATGACGGGAGTATTATGAAGGGGATTATTGGCAATGTCTTTTACTGTAATAATTAAAAAATTTAAACATTCACTGTATATTTTGGTTGCTCATTGTAAAGGCAGGATTGAGTTGTTTGCTACATGCAGTAAGTTTTGTGATCATTTTAAATATTTATTGGCTATCTCCTGCTCATAAGAGATCCTTAAGCATTGTCATATGTGTGGAGGAAAATCCCAACTCAGTTGCTTTTATTCTGACTTCAGACTATTTTATGATTTAAATGTCCCGATGTTACTTTAAGAATAATTCATGTTAAGGCTGTTGCACTGTTAAGATGGTGTGATACTTAGCTTATGTTACATGTGTGGGTCACCTCTAAGAATCTCCAGAACCAGGTGGGGTGGGCAGTGACATTGAAGTTCAAGTCACATTTTTGAAGTCTTTGACATCATTTCTGCCATTCCAGTGCAACTATTTTTTTTTTTGGTACCGAGGATCGAACTCGGGACCTTGTGTTCACAAGGCAGGTGGTGGAACCACTGAGCTAAATCCCTGGCCCCCAGTGCAACCATTTCTAAGACAGAGATCACAAGATGGGCCACATGGTCAGGATCAAGAAGGTATCGTTAATTGGCTGTGACACCCTTCTCCTTTGAGCTAGGAATTAGCGTCAGAATCCTCAGTTTTGCATTTCTAACAGCGTAGATCACACTTTTTTTTGCTTTGCTTTCTCTGACCAAAAGGGTAGTTTGATCCTTATAGTACCCATTTTCTGTCTTAAAATTAAAAGAAAATAAAGAAGAGCTGGAGATGTAGTTACATGGTAGAGCACTTGCCTAGTGTGTGTAAAACCCTAGGTTCAATCTCCAGCACTGGGAAAAAAGTGAATTATTTAAAAAAAAATTACCATATGGTAAGGGGTGGGGATGTAACTCAGTGGTAGAGTACTAGCATAGCATGTGCAGGGCCTTTGGTTCGACCCTGAGTATCACCTTCCACCCCAAAAGAAGGAAAGACAGAAAAAAGGCTATGATGGGCCAATGCTTCTCAAACTTTAAATGTGTACATGGATCACCTGTATCTTATAAAAATGGAGATTCTGATCTGGGGTGGTGTTTAGCTTCTGTGTTTCCAGCACCATTGTGGGTGATGCCCATGCTGCTGGTTTGTGGACCACACTTTGATGATCAAGGTTCAGCACTAAACCATCCACTAGAGACAAGACAAAGCTAGAAAATTATGTTGAGTGCCACTCAATAACCAAAGAAAACAAACAAAAACCAGGCAGATATTCCATTAGAAGCTGAAGTTTTATTATAGGATAACAGTACATAAAGCACATCTAAAATTGATGTGTTCGATGCACTTTTAATAAAGGTAATGTAATATTAAAGGTACAGTTTCTAAGTACAATATAACAACATTCATATTAGAATGAAAATCGGAGTATTTAAAAGACAACATTAAATCTCTCTTTTTTACAGCTTGTATTTACAAAATGAATCAAAATATTTTTTTTTAAATTCAAGAGTCAAGAAAATAAACAGCTGGAAATAAGCAGACTACTGTAAAGAGTGAATTGAAAAGAAAACCCAATGTAAGTGAGAAGTTGGATGATGCTCTAATAAAGATCATTAGCAAAGTTTTAGTTCAATGCTATTTTTTAGGATTCTTGTAAATGGCTTGCATTTTTAGTGTGGCAGAAAAGGAGATTTTACATACTGTACACAGACAGCATATGTTTATAGGTACAGTATCACTTTTCAAACTTGCATGTATATTTACAGAAGGCTGAGTTTGTTACTCACAGAGTTTTGTGAAATTTGTGTGCTTAATCCTCAAGACCTACACACAATTAGAATCAACATTTCATGTGGTCTTTTTAAATGTGGTTTTTATTCTTGGTTGTAGAAGAAAATGTTAATCATAAGGCTTGGTATACTTCATAAATTTGCCAAAACAACCCAGGAAAAAAGTTTTAATTGGGGCCACTTGTAATTTAATAATTAGCAGATGCTGACATGTGCTGGCCATTGTGCAGGCACAAAGAGATACACTGTCTACCCTAGGGGTGCTTAGGATGCTAAATAGTGCCTTAAAAAAAGTTTTAATCTCTTTCCAAGTGAGACAGTTAAGGAATGACGTGATTTGTGTTCAGCGATTTCTCCCTAAACAGTAGCCAATTCACTCTAAAGGGTTAACTATTAGCATTCGCTTTCATGAACCACACAATTGCATTTATAATTAAGGTAATATGAACTCTTCCATAAAAATGGAAAATATCTAGAATGGTGGGTAAATATGCAGTGCATGGGAGCCACTGATCATGGCTTGAGAATTTATCACTTTCAGTTACAAAAAGTGCAGTAAACAGAAACATTTGCTCTATATTTATAAATTGCTCAAAAATCTTTGCTAAAGATCTTACAAATTCAGTAATATTACAGAACAATTCTAATCAATATTTAATAAGGCTAACTACATCCTTAGTTAGATATTTGATATAGTCTGATTTTTAACAATGCCAGTAGGTTTTGGGAAAATAAATGAAAGTGTTTAAGCTCATTATTAAATGACTGTAGAAATGAAGCTGTTTTATTCAGTTCATAGAACTAGTTGAGATGGTTGAGATAATGTTAAAACACACTATCCTTTGTCGAATTGGATGGCCCATGTTCTTCCAATGGATGTTTCCATACTTCTTATGACTCAGGCTGGGAAAGGTCTAGTCTGCTGTCAAGCCACCATGAAAATTTGATATAATTGCTTATATTCTAGAATAGGAGTTAAGTATACAAATCTGTCAAGTACCAATGATATAATTCCTTAAGAGAAAAATGTATTATTCCATTAAATGAGAATGTTTCTTTGGGATCTTGAAGGTCTGGCCAAGTATTTTTCAGCTAAGGAGATATAGAATAAAGCCAAATAGTAGCAAACATAAAAGTCAATGCAAATAAATTTTCATATGTCCATATTTATAAACAGATTCACCATATAGATGTCAAATATCCATACTAAGGAAGTAATTTTATCCTAATTAAATATACTCTAGAATAATTTATATAATGACAGTATGTATTTAAAGAGAAAAGCATGTCCCAAATCTAGCACTCTGATACAGCTGCTAGTTGGGCACAGGTAGATATATATATATATTTGTGTATATATATATATATATAATATGTATATATATACAAATATATAGTTATACTCAGTGAAATTAACAAGACCCAAAGGTGGTATTGTCTAGGAATAAAAGGGATAATTTTTTTTTGTTCACAAAAGTAACTTATCTAGCACCACACATCAGAAAAACACAAAAATAGCACACTCTAGTTCTAAACAGCTATGTCTAAAATAGATTATATAGTAAAACCGATATTATACAGCATATTGTGGATTTGATAAACAGATAAATATTTGCACTGAGTAGGCTGTTTATAATATAACATTTTCTTATCTATACAGAATGAAAGCCAAAAAGTTAACTGTATAGAGATGTGCAGAACAACATTAAATATTATGACTCAAAAGCAGGGACGAAGGTAAACTTGAAGGAAGAGTAAGAGAGAAAATGTTTACAGGCCATTACAAGTTCTTAAGTTAATAGTAAATAAGGAATCAATCGCTCAAGTTGAAAGCAGTAAACAAGAGATTGCATTTACATGCAGATGTCTAAAATTTGTATTTTTTAAGTCTATGCACAAAAGTCATTTGTTTTATTGCTTGACATTCAGTTATGGCTAGATTATTTAACCTTTTTTTGTACTTTGGAAACAATATTGTTAAAGGTGCCATAAAAATGGACAATATTGAAAACGGTTTGCAAATAAACCACCTAACACTGCAGTTCTTTATACATATTAAAAGCCTTGTCTGGGGTTTGTCATATGTTAAATATATTTAAACTGGGAAAATATGTTGTAGCTTGAAGCCTCCCATTGGCCCAAACATCCAATACAAAAACACATCTCCACAAAAGGAGCAACAGACAACACAGGTACATTTAAAGAAGCAGCCAGCTAATGTCCTAATGTTTAAGCATTTACCACTGTTATATATGAGATTTCAAACCATTGTGGATAAGAAGAGAATTTTGAATTCAGGAAGATGTGTACAGTACATACAGATTTTTTTGTGTGAAGTCATATTCACTATATTGCTCAAGAATGATCTGCATTTCCAATGCAATCTGTTCATTGATAATCAAGTTCCTAAAAATAGTATTCATCCACGTTAGAGTAACAGTGAGTGAGAAAGGAACATGGGAGAGAATTTTGTTGTTCTTAGAGAACAACATGATGGCATGTGCAGTACATCAGAGCTAATAGCAAACTATCATTCATTAGCCCCCAGAAGGTTCAAAGACAAAAGTGTGGTACTGCTCATGTGGCAAAGCACACCAAATGTAAACAGCAGACACGGATTCTCTAGGTATCTATTTGAAAACATTCAGATTCACTTTCTTCACACAAGACTCCATGTTATGTTGCATCACTGAAAAAAGGTGGTTTCTATTTGGATTGAATATTCTGTCATTCATTTATAAGGAAATAAATGACTGAATGTATTTATTGCTCTAAGTTCTGAGGGTGTGGTTGAACATGGAGATGCCCCCTCCCTAACTTGGCTCCATGGTATGAAGCCAGGCTTCTGGACTATTTTTTTTATTTTGAGAGCCTGACAAAACTGATACATACACACACAAACAAGGAAACAGACCTGGAAGTGAAACCAGTTACTTTTGGAGACATTGCTAGTCAACCTTCTCATCTCTTAAAAAAAAAAAAAAAAAAAAAAAAAAGAGCAATAGGAAGGCCTCTTTAATCACCTCTGGTGGGACCTTTTCATGTACTGGTGTTTAGGGACAAAATGAAGACCTGTGTTATACACCATTAGCAACAGATCAAGGTTTATTGTTGCAATTGTATTTCTGGGCACATAATTTGAGCTGTAGTATAAAGTCTCTTTCATGGGGTTCTGTATCATAACTTTATTATAAGTGGCAATCACATGTTATACTATGTAAAAATATCAACCACCTGTGTGTATGAATATAAATGGAAGGAAGCAATGAGATGGGGAGGGAGATTTCTGCAATTTTTCATATTCTTAACAAGGTGAAAGTACCTTTGTCACGTGATAGGCACGGAAAGTTTTCCCAAATTATGCTTCTCAACAGTAATAGGTAAATAGAGTGAATGTAGTCTACTCCAAGGGTGGAAGAATCAGAACCAGCAATCAGACTGAGTTCCTCTGACTTTAGGTAAAGTAATATATGGGAATGTGTAAACAAAGATTATTTTTAAAGTGTTGATGTGTAACCCTAAGAGCTAGGTGAAGTAGCTGTCATACAAGTGGAGTTTGATTTGTCTTTAAACAGTAGCTCCTACAGCAGTTCATCAGATATCTACAAACTACAGATGTGTCAGTTAGAACTGTTTTAGATAAAGGGATGTTTGGTTAACTTCTAGAGAACATAGTGAAAACAAGTTAATTGCTGGCATTAAAAAAAAGTTGCATCGTTATCCATTTCACTGATAGGTCTTATCACTGGTTTTAAAATTTTTTATCCTTAATAATAGTTTAAAACATAAAATGTTTAATATTTTAAAATATCTTAATTATTAGAGAAATGGTAACTAGGATATGTAAGGGCTGCACTTGGATGCACCATGTTGGTGCATTTCTATTTTGAACATACTGTGTAACTCTGCACTGCTTTGCAAGTTATTCGTGTTCTTAAATACACAAAACCGAAGAGCACATAAGTTTTGAACTCAACGAAATGAGACAATAGTGAAGAGTTTACACGCATACACGGTTCTACATAGTTCATTTGTGCCTTGGAGGGATAACATTATTATTATTAATAATAAAAAACAATTTGTCCCAGTAGTACTGGCCACCCTGTTTTAAGAGTTTTAGAAGATCCCTGAGCACATTGTTTCTGACTCTTAACCCCAACTCCAAAATGATATCAAGATGGATTGTCATTCACAGTAAGTCAATCATAAGGTGCTTAATTTACCCTTTTTTTCATCAATCAGCACAAAGGACTGTCAGAAAAATAACTTTTATTATTATCTTAAAATAATAGCACTGGAAGGACATATGATTTAAACAATCAATGTTTGCAACAGTGGCTTTAGGATTATTATCTGGCTGCCCCTCAACAATAACAAGTGATTCGATCGACATTCCTTAGCCAAAAACAAAAGGAAAAAAAAACAAAACAAAAAAACAAAACACTGTACAAATATGTATTTTTCCCTGAGGGTTCAAGGTACACCCGCAAGTGCTCTATGTACATATTGCACTGGAGAGGAATGAAGAACATGTGCAAAAGAGCAACAGTGAGAAGCTGACACACCGCTCAGACCTTTGCATTGAGGACTCGCTACGTTGCTTTGTATTTTGGAATGTCGGAACACAAACAGCCATTCCTTTGTCTAAAACGAAAAACACAAATCCCTACTATGGCACATTCAATGAAATAAAAAGTTTTCCAAAGACAGACAAATTCCATCAAGAAAATAATACAAAGTTTGTTTGTTTGTATTTTTTTTTTTAGAAAATTACATTACTTTCTTTCTTTGTTTCACATTACAAAATCTTTTTTTTCTTTACACAAATCACATTTTATTGCAGGAATATTTCAAGTGCCATCAAATATTTATAGAAGGGTTAAAAAAATAGAAGTCTCTCTAAAGTGGTCCAGACAAGGCTTTGTATAGAATAAATCTTTTTTTTCTCCATCTTCTAATTTTGATTTAAGTATTTTGAATACATTTTCTTTTCCATTGACACTTAGTAGCCTAGAAGCGGTCCGACACATGCACATCATACACACGCAGGTCTTACACACACATACACAGGCACACACGCACGCACACACACGCCTTCCTCGCCCGACCCTCCGTCCACTCCCATATGCTCACAGAGATCTGGGTATCCACACTATAAAGAACAACCAAACTTAGAAGCAGTGTCTTAGGTTTTCCTTAGGTTAGGAAGGGTGAATTAGGATGCTGAAGACTTTTAAAAACTCATAGCTTTAACACAAATTAGGATGCTGAACACTTTTTAAAAAATCCATAACTTTAACACAGTTTGCAAACTGTCCAAAAAGCACTTTCATCTGCACTGTTGATTTCACTGTGACCATGGCCAGTTTTTTCACAATACGGTATGATTGTTTGGATACCATTGTAGCAGTGGTACAATGCTTTGTACAAAACCTCATTTACCTTGTTTTTAAAAATTATATAAAAATGTTAGTGGAGCCAAGTTGACAATAATGTGGTTCCAATCCTTAAAAGACTACTGGATATTTAAGTTTAGGAGACTCTGATTATATAAACTATCAAGAATAATTGTTTTGGTATCACCTAGTGTTTTGTGTCATCACACAGGTGTTTAGGAAGAAAATAAAAATGCAAATGTTTTCACATCCTTTTCTAGACTCAGAATTTCTTTCAACTGCATTTATTGTTTAGCTTCAGATCCCAACATAGATCCAAATAATAGTTGTTCCCTCAGTTTCTCCAAGCACGTCTCTGTCTCTACAATTCTGTTCCTACACTGTCAGTGGACTTTACTCTGAAAGTTCACCTGCTTTTCTTTCAGAAACACCTAGAAGCAGCATCGTGTTACTCTGTCTTGGTTTACTATAAAAGCAATGTCACCATGTCATAACTATTAATGAGATTAGAGCATTTTTGTTTTGCATTATACACATGCAAAATCCTTTCTGAGAAAAGGAATTTCTTTCTTTTTTTTTTTGGTACCGGGGATCGAACTCAGGTCCTTGTGCTTGCACAACAGGCAGCGAAACCACTGAGCTAAATCCCCAGCAAAGGAATTTCTTTTTAAGTTCCACATTACTTTCTCTCTCACCCTTAGAGAAGTTCAATTAGCTCTTCTTATTCACAAATGGGACACTGGAATTAGGTTTAGTTGCTCTTTAATACGCTAGCACCTGAGGCTGGTCATATTCAGAAAGCTTTGGTTAAAAAGAAGTTATTATACTTTAATAAAACCATCCCCAAATTTAGTGAATCTGAATGACAAAAACCAAAATACCCCCTCCCCCAAGAGACCCCACACCATTTACCCTCATATAATGGACAAATAAATAATTGAACTAAGCTTGCTACTCTTTTCAGAGTATAAATATTAAACTTTAAAGGAACTATGCTTACTTAAATAAAAATTTGATTTAACCCTTCTTGCCCAAATATAAATACTATATGCTGACAGTTAACCTCTCTATATAAACACTCACATAAAATTTTATATGCCTGTAAGAAATTTAAGTAAATATTACTCTCATCTTCTATTTATGGTTAAACCTTTATGTTATCTTTTGAAAAAAAATGTGGATGTTATTTAGGCTTCATACACACTTTTGTGTGAATAATTCCTTCTCCAAGTGCCTCAGGAAACGAGTCAGGAAATCAGTGAGGTGCAAAGCAGAGTAAAGTGCTCTGAGAAGCCAGTCCTAGTGGTCCAGCTCAACAGCAGGGGCCGCAGTCCTGCAGAAGATTCTGAGGGGGTCGTTGTGGCAGAGGAGGCCTTTGAATGTGTGCGCTTCTCAGAAACTCCCACTGTCACACCATGGAAGATACTGTCTTTTCCTTACAAACATCGTCTTTGATGTTGGACCAGTAGTTTGAATCCCACTCTGGATGTGATTAAAATCTAAATGCCTACATTCCCAAAAGGTCACTTGTTTTCAAAATATGTACCCTTGTACATCAGACTGTTCCTTTGCCATTCCCCACTGGGGATGATTAAAAAAAGAACAGGAAATTAAACAAAAAGAACTCAATATTTCTCACCTCAACACAAAAGCCAGACAGTCTTCTAAATATTTAATAAAATAAATTACAATCCACAGTTTTCTAGTGAAGATAAATACAAGAGTAAATGTTTGCAGCTAGCATCCACTTCACTTTAAAGGCTTAAAATATTTAATATTAAATAAGAGAAACTGGTTCAACATTGTATACCTCCCTCACCGTCCTATCCATCGTCTACCAAATATGGAGAGCTGTAGTCTAGAATAGTGGCATGTAGGGACTAGTCTAGAATCGGATCACTCTGAGATAAATGTGTAAGTTTCCTAGATTATACCAAGAGCATAAACATTCAAAGAATGCATCATGTCCTCATGTGGGGAGTGTGTGCTTGTTCCAGATAGAATCTTTGGGTTCTTATAATAAAAGCTAGATTCCAATAAATATTCTGGGTACTGATTTATTTCCAAGTTTAGGCTGAGTCCACGTGACTACTGAATTGTGTAAAATGAGCCTCCCCTGCCTCCGAAAGGTGGCATTTTAAAAAGCTTTTTTTTTTTTTTTAATTTAAAAAAATGTGCATGATGGTTTAAGTCCACAGCACCAATCATTCAACTTTGTATGAAGCATAAACACATCTATCCTTAAACTTATCAAAAAGCAAAATATAACTTAGGGAGAGTTCTGTTTCTAATTTCAAATTCACGTGTGGAAAAAAGTCCAACATGTTGATTTCTAGATATGACCAGCCAGTCTTTTAAAAGTCAGTTTGTAAACAGCAGCATAAATACCTCCCGACGTACCTTCCGAGCCTTCTCAGTTAAACTTGTGTTTCTGGTGCACATGCGACACGACAGTGAACACGCTAGCATTTAATTCAAAGAAAAAGGTGCAAAATGAAAGTGCCTTATCAATTCAACAGGAAAAGCTACACCAGTAACTACATTTTATATTAATTAAAACAATATATAAACAATATCTCTTTTAGCTATATATAGTCTTCATGCCCATTTACCCTGTAATATATTATAATGCTATTGTTGCCAGTGCTATGGACCCTTTTCATGCCATCCTGCTGACTGGCAGTTATCGGTGAGAAAATAAAGACTTCCTTCATGAAACAAAGAGCAAGTTGAGCAAAGTAATGCTGCAACTTCCACTATGCACACCGTCACCGATCACTGCTGGACGCTCTGTGGGAACTGACAGCCTGACGACTCTGTAGAAAGTCTTCGGGCAGTGAGCTACAAGAAAAGGAATCCTCCGATGTTAGTACCCTCCTTCTGTTGTAAACAGGTCAGCACTCAAGTTGAGACAGAAAAAGGGTCCATATCTGTAGGCATAATGGAAATCATATGCATGAGAAAAACAAGTTCAACTTTTATTTGTTTTCATTGTTTCCCCTCCTTTGCCTGACCCCGATCACCAAAAGATGTGCAGTGTGTTGGCGCTCCAGGGCTGTGCAGGGCCATAGAAAGTGTCTTGGTTAATTTTTGTTTTCTTTCCTTTTTCATGTTTGTACTTCAGACATTCTAGAAGTGCTCGGGTGATACATTTACCCATCGATTTGCATTGCTGGCTCAAACTCTGAAGTGAACAACTCCTTGTATAATGGAGGAAAATGAAGTCGCACAATGTCTGGGTATATTGCTTTAAATGCCATTAGCTTTTCCGTGTGTCGTCCACATAAGGCTCTTAACGTAGACACCTTGCATATTAACTGTAAGTGAAAGGACAGGAGGTCAGGTGGGAACAGGCATGTGAATGAAGAGTCAAGGAGTCTGCTTGATCTTTAGAACACTGTTTATAATGGTTGAAGAACACTTGAGGCAACTTAACCTTGCAGAAAGAGGACTGGTAAAATTAAATGATGATACAGTCGTGTCATAGGAGGCTAGGAATACTGAATGCTAGTTTGAAGATGAATAATTGAACCTAAAATGGTAATGCGAAGCAGAAGTTGGCCCTGCTTGTCAGTGGCAGGGTCCAGATGAAAGCTCAAGGCGCTCTCTCCTCCTCCTATTCCACAATGCTCTCTGCTCTGCCACCCCGAGCCCTACCCTCTACCACTGTGGAAGCGTTCTGGTGATGGAGACGTGGGCAAACCGAAGTCCTGGGTGTGCGGGTACTCAGCCAGAGACCAGGGCATCCCCTGCACATGTTATGCAGATCTAGTACCAGTCAGTTCTAAGGGCAACAAATGCCTTCTAGATAGAGAACTTTTGTTGTAATAGCCATTCTGGGTCTGAGAAAAGAAGCGAGTCAGAAGGCCTGGATGGAAGTCCTTGCATTGACTCTTTACCAGCTGAGGGTAACAGCATGATTTGCAAAAGTGCCCTTCAAGTCTAAAGCACTGTACAAAGAGTGCTTATGGCTGCAGCCCAGGATAGCCCTCTTAGGAAGTGTTTTTTACCAGATCCTCTTAGATGCTCTCTAACAAAATAATTTTACAGAGGTCTTGCTTTTGGGCAAGAAGACGGGTGAAGTTCCAGAGGGGTCCTTCCCTTGCATTTCCCATTCCTGCACCAGTCACCCATGTAACAGGTGCAAAATCAAGAAGAAAAGAGTAGTTGACCATCAGTTTCTCCTTTCTGCCCTCACAGCAGAAAAGGAAACAGGAACACAAAACCCAATACTGTTCAGATCATCCTCTCATGTAGTAAAATGTATAAAATAAGAATATGGCTTCTTCTCAAACCAAATACTATAAGACTAACACTGAAGGATATTAGCATATTTTAAATTGGCATCCTAACTGTGTTCCAAAAAATAACTAGCAAAAGTGAAACCTCACGCTGGGAACATGGGACAGCAGCAAGAAATTGATAAAACACAAAAGTTATTTATAGTTGACTAATGAGTTTAATGGAAAGAGGACTAATATTAAAATACATGGTTATCCTGGCTCTTTTAGTCCTTCATCACTTTTTTCTTCTAAATTCAAAGATTCTTTTTCTTTTTTTTTTAAATTAAATTCTTTTAAAGATTCTTTTTCTAACCTATAACAATGCAGAACCTTAACTCTACTTTATGTGCAACCTTATGGAATAGGAAGAGGAGGATTTCCTGAATGTATTAATGCTTTAAAAAAACTCCTTTCTATCTACAATTGCCCTGTTCATGTAGGGCCCAATGTGATCAATGATAATAAACAGAAGTTAACCTCAGTAATGGGTTTTCCTAACAGAATGTTTTGAAATGGAGATTTCTATCTCTGAGGTAGCCTGTGGCGCACTTTTGGGGATTATGATTTAAAAGGGCAGCTAGCAGCGTGATAATTTAGGCCATGCCAAGTGGAGCCCTTCAGCTCTTACCTTTGTTAGTATCCCGTCCTCTCGGTGATTCTTCTGTAGGACGTGTTGAAGAGCTAGCTGAATTTTCTGTTGCAATTTTTCAATTTTTACCTTTTCTTGGAGCCACGAGCGATCTGAACATGAAAAATTACACTCTTTAGGATCCCTCCTCAAACACCATGTCGGACCACCCACTCCTCTTGCCTCCGAGGTACAGATGATTATGCTGCAATGTATATTTCAAGACTCACAGGCCAGTTGCCCCCGTCTTCCAAATTTTGCTTAAAAATCCCACTGAAGGAGTGGAAAAGCGATCCATGACCTTTACAAAACACAGTGTTAAGCCTTTCCATTTTTACTACTACTCAGAAGAAGGGAGGATCCACCCTTTCCAAAGCATAGCCGTTTGAATTTAAGGCCATACTCATACAACTGCAAATAAAACCACCTTGTCCCCTCAGGCCTTCTCAATAATTATATTTCTGGATGAAATACTTATATCAATCCTGCCAGCCTTTTTGGAAAATATGAAAATTGCCTTATAATCCCGGGCAACTAAAATTGTCAGTAGAACTCCAAATGACTTAAGGGTGGTTATATTAGGATAAAGTCTTTATGTGTAAGAAGACAGTAAATTTGCAAAAGTGACTGTCCCCAAGAAACAGCGCTGGTTGAAAACCTGTGGACAGCAACCAGATGGATTTAAGAAAAGGTAGAAATCTTTAAAAAAGACGTGTTATTGGGCTGGGGATTTAGCTCAGTGGTTTCGCCGCCTGCTACACAAGTGCAAGGACCCGAGTTCGATCCCCAGTACCAAAAAACAAAAAAGACATGTTATCTTGGAGACTGAGTTAAGGAGGACAGCCCTACTCTACAGTTTCTCTTGGTATCTAGAGTTGCACTCTGGACTGGGTTTCATTCAATTCTGATTTTTTACAATTTTATCTGAAAGGCATGAGGTCTTCTAAAAAGAGTTTACATGTGTGGGCAGGATGTTCTTTGAAAAACTTTAGATTTTACAAAAATGGCAGCTGCTTCTGAGAGCCCCTCAAGTGTTCTAAACCAATAAAAGTTATGCCCCTTGTAAAACTTCTTTACCTGGAAAAATTTTAAACCATTTAGTTTCTTTTTGTTCGTCTTACCTGCTGACATCAGTACAAATGCAGAAAATAATGCAATTTCATCTTCGGTCAGGTGCATAGAACATAAGCTCTTTCCAAATTCAAACACAAAGCTAATAAAGTCTTCACAACCTGCGAAAAATTAAAATAAAGACAGTTCAGGATTTTGTTTATTAACCTTGGAGAAAAATGTGGATGCAGATGAAGAAAGATCCAGTAACTGAAGATCAGAGGGGATAGTAATTATATAAGTGAACAGTTCGAAATCGTAAAAGAAAAATCGGTTTTAGTCAGTCTCACCATCACTACTACACCATTAACACCATCATCACCACGCTATCGTCATTGACAAGGGTAATTAATGTTTGTTGTATGGTTATTATGTCATGTATTCTAAGAAGTTTCTCTGGATTTTCTCATATTTCAAAACAGCCCTGTGAGGGAGGTACAGCCCTGTTTTGTAGGAGAAGAAGCCGAGACCTGGCAGAGATGAGTCATGTATCTGAGGTCACACAGGTAGAAAGTACAGCCTGAGACAGCCAGCCTGAGTGACTTCAGAGCCCACCTATTTAGTGGTCTATGGCGACAATCTAATTGAGATGTTAAATTCATTCTCGTTTTACCTTAAAATGGTAACAAGTAACATATCCTGGTGGGAAAACTACTGCGACTGCTTACCGAACTGAAAACATGAACTCTGAAAGTCCGCTAAAACAATGATGCAGTCCCTAAAAGACTGGTTAAGTCTGGTGGCTGGCTGTTCCTTCAGAGTGGCCTTTTCTTAAGTGGAAATGCTTAAATGGCAGTGGAGTGCCCTACACTTACCCCACACCCAGCATGTGTCAGGTAACTCTAAAAAAGATCCTTTAACACAATTTGGATGCCTTCTCATTGTTTTTCATGACTATATTCCACTTTATTTAAATTACAGAAATTCAAAATAATTTATAAAGTATATGTCATAGTTTCACTTAGCTCTACTTTATTTCCTTGATATTTGCATTTCCTCCTCATTAAATGTTATTTGAGGGGTCAGGAATGGCAGACTTTATGTTCCTTGCTTGCTTTTTTATATCCCCTTCAAATGTGGTTTCTTAAAATCTGGAAGGGGAAATGGAAGGACATAGAATATAAATCTCTTTAGTTACCAGTGGGATAAAATGAAAATCTAGATCTTTACATGGAATACACACAAAAAACACTTGAGATATGGGACTTTTCTATAAGTAAAATAAGTATGAAATCTTACTTTTGGTCCAAATAACGAGTTTTCATTTTATTCGCTCAGAGCCCTCACCTAACCCACATCTTTCCCCATAGCCCTGACTGAAAATCCAGGAAGGCAGCTTGAGATGTCCTTACCTAAGGATTTGAAGACATCAGGGCTGGCGTACTTCCCATCGAAGTACACGGTGTTGTTCTGAGAGTCGAAGGCACGGCACATTCTGATGAACACCACCTCTAGAGAACCTGACAGACACAGAATTGGTTTGGGTCATGTGATCTAGAGGACTTTATTCCCGAGGTGCTAATGTAGAGCCCTCTCTGATACAGCAAGTGGGCACTGTTTGCGGAGGAGCTTGCAGTGGGCTCCTGGTCACTGTCCCTCTCTGTGCAAAAGTGGAGAGCTCACCACTGTAAGCACTGACCATCCTGCTAAAACAGCCCTCTCAGAATGAGGACTGACTTACAAATGACTTGGCCTATACTCCTGACCTTGCACAGTGGAGTCTCAGAGTTACTAGGGAAGTGGTTAGTCATATTTATCAAAGCAATCACAACCAGGAACGGCTCCCTGAGTTCTGCTAGTCTCTTGCTAAAAACTCAGTATTAGGACCTGGAGGCTAGACAAGACACAGGTGGTAGTAAAATTTGGGAATGTAGGTGTCCTTCAATTTAATCCTTTCACCTAGAGGAAAAACAGTATGGAGGGAATGTTTCCTGAACACGGCTTCAAAAACCCTTGAAAAGCACTCAATTTTTGCTAAGGAAAACCTGAGCGATTATTGCTGGAGAAAAAAAACTGCTCTTGACACTTTCCTTACCAAGCACTTCTTTAACAAGCAGGCGAAAGCAGGTTAGGAAGAGACATCAGAATTTACTTGCAAAGTGCATACCTGCTTTTAGAAGCACAATTTGATCGTTTTGACACAGTTCCATAAATCCATCAATGCGTTTGGCGAACTCCACCACATACTGTATAGCTTCTGTAATTTTGATGGCACACAACTGCCACATCACCTCCCGCTGCTGTTACAGAGGGAAATATTAACACACAGGTCACCCGGGATCCTTGGAACAACTTGTTTGTCCCTGTTCTGTAAAATCTGTCTTTGGAAATAGGTTCAAAAAGGCTAGAGGATCAAAAAATAAACAATGGCCTTGTTATTTCTTATAAGCACCGCTTCTGTGTCCTCTCTGCTGCCTCCTATGCCTCTCTTGTGGATGGCAGTGGCACTGGTGGAAGAAGCTATGAACATAAGGTGCTGAGAAGTGAGGAGAGCAGCACCTGCCACTGCTTTAGCCCCAGGCCACAGAGGAGCCAAGTAGGATCTTCTTTCAAGCAATGATTTTTTTGCCTTGGGACATTTAATAACACTTCATTCCCCTTCAAGTAAAGGGGAGCCAATACAATTTATTGTGTACCTACTGTGAGCTAGATGCTTTATGACATCTTTGTCTCCTAGCATCTTCATAAGGACTTTTATCTATCATCCAGAAATGACAGGAAAGCTTAGAGAGGTTCCGCAGCTAGGTGGTGTAAGAGCTGGATTCAAATCCCAGCATGTCTGACTCTGAAATCCCATCTTAAGGACCTTGCTGTTTCTTAATGCTCTCTCGCCTCTCCTTTGCAGCTTTGGCCACAGGGTTACCTGCTGCCTTGAAGGCAGCGAGTGACATATTCCTTGGCCTGGCCTCTTAATTTCCCTTAATATACTCACTTTCCGAGCCAGCTACAGAGTGACCTGGATCTGTCGCATGACACTCTTGTTTCCCCAATCTGCTGGGGTCTAAGAAACACAGAACTGGGAGCCAGGAGTCGGTCTGGTCCTGGTGTTTCCATTCTCCAGCCATAGGCAAGGGATGTTAGTTTCCCCATATGAAACGTGAGAGAAGTTTAAGCTAGATAATCTCCACAGTCCTTTCAAAAGGACTGAGTTTCTGAGATTATTGAAAAAACTCACAGCATTTTCATTTACCAAAGGCTGAACAGATAATTAGATGTTCCCCGTCTCCAGCATACCCTCCTGTGATAGTGGCTTATTGACTGGGGGGTTGTATAGGAAAGGCAGGTTCATAATGCTAGGTTTAGGTTCAGGTCAGAGTTACAATCATAACTTCCAAACCTTGTTTTCATATGTGCTATAAACTCCTTGGTGTAAACCCCTGGCAACAGAAGGCTGAGATTATTTCACATCAACTTCCTAAAAAGTTCCATTGTGATACTAGGACAAATCTATTCATTTAGGTTTTTGGAAGCTGTTTGATCTAGTCCCCTACTGACAAATTGAAGGAGATATGTGCATCTTTATAAAACGAGAATTTGTTATCATGGAAATTTCAAATGCTGGCATCTCACTGAGATTGAAGAGCCTCAAGCACACAATCAGCTTTGGAAGGGAAGGCAGGTTTTAAATCAGAGATCTGGTGTCTGGTAAAAGACACTCATACTTTGGCTACTTGGTGCTCTTGAATACATCTCCTCCACCAAACCCTCCCTGGTGTGGCCTCAGCCCTGAGCCAGCCCCTCCAGTTTGTACCTTGTTTTGATAGTTCTCAGTCTCTTCCTGCAGAAAGGTCTGCCACGTGATCTGCTGCAGCTCTTCTCTCAAGTACTGGCAGGTTTCCAGGTGTGATTTGGATATATTCTGGGCAAGGTGTTCTAAGAGGGAAGACAGGAGATCACAGACATGAAAAGGGGCACATTCTTCTTTGGATACTCAGTGATGCCTCCACCCGGCATTCACTTTAGGAAGCAACAAGGGTAAAGCAGTGTGCTGGGCCTGTTCTGACAATCTTTCCACATCTACACAAGCCATTTGGGACAGTTCAGGATTGGGGAATGGGGAGGGAGGAGCGGGACATTGCAAAGCCATCATTTCATGAGGAGGCTTGGTGACTTCAGAGACCTGTTGACCTTGACCTTGTTCTGTGTTTCACTAGTGTCTGGGAATGAACCAACACTGACCTAGAGGGCTAAGGGGAATGATCGACATCTTCTTGGCATTTTTATGCTAGCCTGAAAAGCTCATGAAAAACTAGGAAATAATATTATTTTATGAAGACAGGTATGCCTCTTTTGTCTTGCCTACAGACCGCAGGACAGACACTGCAGGGCCTAACATTTGAGTAGGTGTAGTGCAATGAAGAGAGAAACCCTGCCCCTGGACTGTCAGGATCTGCATCTGAGCTTTGATTTATTAGCTGTGGGATCCTAGGTATGTTTTATTTGACTTCTCTCTGCCTTGGTTTCCTCATTTCCAAAGTGAAGAAAGTAGTACTTTTTTCATAGGGCTGCTGTGGAAACTAAATAGCTGAGCACTTGGAAGGGTTACATAGTGTGTACAATTATTATACTTGAGTGTGGGAAGTTTGATGATACTAAGATGCCAAAGACATTTTCTTTGGAAATTTATAATCTGTGGACATGTGCAGACACACTGAAAAGGAAAATTGAAGAGATCAGGCAATAAGGTATGAAGGTGAATTACATCAGGAGATTAAAAAAAAAAAGACACTATTAGGAAGGGGGGAGGCCAGTGTTGACTGAGTGGAACCGGGAGCTGTTTCTTGGCAGACAGGTTGCAATGGACCCTGAAGAACCGGCAAGATTGGCAGTGGGATTTGGGGTGTTGGGAGGTGGACCAGCTCCATGCAGAGGTGGTGGATGAAGAACACATACAGCATTTATCGGGGGCAGGTAATTGTGATGGACAACAATGTCAAAGTAGAAACACAGGGAAGAGCCTGGCCCCTGAGTGGGAGGATTGAATCTGGACCTGAGGTAACAAGCAATCAGCAGGATTGAAAAGTGCACCTGGAGACGGTGGATGAGCAGTTTCGTGCTGGGGGGGTGGGAGCACAGGCGGGGCAGGAGGACCAATAAGGCTGCTAGAGGACGAGTGAGGAGCAGGCTGGTAATGACTGGTATGGGAAAAGAGACTGATGAAAGAAAGTGGTGCTACTCGGGAGGCTGAGGCAGGAGAATCAGAAGTTCAAGGCCTGTCTCAAAATTTAAAATTCTTTTTAGAAAGGGCTAGGGATGTAGCTTAGTGCTTTCTGAATTCAATCTCCAGTACCAAAACACACGTATGCACACAAGCATGTGCTTAAAAGAACTGACGCACATCTGCAAATAAGAAACCACACCCAAAAATGACCCCTTCTCCCCGAGTCCTGGATATACAATAGGCAGTGGTGCTGAATGCAGATTTGACAACACTCAAAAGAGTGTTTGTCTGTAAATTTGTTACTGCTTCCCTCAAACAGAAGGAGATTGTTTGTGTGAAAACAGAGCAGGTTCACCTAAATGGAGTTGGAAACGAGAATCTCCTTGGAGACACAGAAACATAATAAATCTTAACGGTCCTATTTGGCAACACACAGACGCTAAAACAGCATGGATAGATGGCATAAAAAATAAAACATAAACAAAGGGAAAAAAAGTAAGGCAAAAAAAGAGAGAAACCAAGAGAGGAAGGAGCCAGTCAGTCCTGTGTCTCAGAATCCGTGGTGCTTATGAAGAGTAAAGAGAAAGGGTAACGGGAGTCAGAAACCAGAACATCAATGCATAAATACGGCATTGAACTAACTCCAGTGGAAAGATCTCTCACTACGTAAGTGTTCCTGGAATGTAAGCCCATTTTGAAGGTATGAAAAAAGTGAAGCTGACCGTTTACAGGGCATGGGAAGCAGCTCATACTGTACTGTTCTGGGTATGCTGCTTTTCCACACCAGAGAGTCAGCATCTTGTTTCACTTCATCTTCAAAAATGTTACCAGGGGTGGGGATGCACCTCAGTGGTAGAGCGTTTTCGTGGCAAGTGCAAGGTCCTGGGTTCGATCGCCAGTACTTAGGGAAAAGAAATGATTGCAACTCACCCCTGCTTCATTGTATCCAGCTTTCAGAACAGCCAATAAGCGAGACAACGGGCAGTGCAATTCACAGGATGTACCAGTAGAGGGCAGTGGCTGCGTTCGCACCAACTGCTCACTGTCTTTGATTTTAATTTAAAATAGATTGGATTTTAGATATTTTGCAATTTTTACATCTCCATTTCATCAAAGGAGACTATGGAAGGGGTGACTAAAAGTTAAGAGTGGGTGTGGCCTTTTCCAGACACCGTGAATGGTGACATACCTAGTAACTACAGAGACTGGGTTTCTAGTCTGCTCTCACACGTCTCACTGTGTGTGCGAGCGTGCGTGTGTGCGTGTGTGTTGGGGGGTGGAGCGGGCAAGTCCCTTTTTCTGCTCGACCACGATTAGTTCATCAGTGCCGCCACCTTCTAGGTACATCAGATGGAAACTCTGGCTGCGGAGTCCCAGACGTTCACAGTGGGAAGGAACTTTAGACATGATCTGGTCTAAACTCTGCTCATTTCAGGTGACATTATCAACAATTGGTGACAATTAACACTCATGTGGCATTGACCATGTGCCACCAGACTCGTATATTTCGCATGTATTGTGAATATATGAACATATGTATACTGTATTCCCCCTGCCTCACTTAATCATAATTCCGGGAGAATAGAACTGGTAGTCTCCATTTTACATCTGAGGAGACTGAGCCGCAGTGAGGTTGAGTGACTTCGCCAGGGTGTCATGACTAGCAGGGGGCAGGGTTGGGATCTGAACACAGCCTAGCTTCCAGGTCTGTGTTCAGGCTTCACTCTGTAGGGAGGGGGACTGCAGGTGACTGGAGGTACAGGGGACGTGACTTCACAGGGCTGTCCAACTTAGAGCAGGAGCGGGACCAGGACTGCTAAGGGGCGACGTCTTCTCACTCTCTGTCCAGTATGTCAGCATTAATCAACAATTACGGCGCCACACAGGAGCAGAACTTTAAAAAAGGAGGAAGCTAGGTTGTTCATCGGGAGTATATAATTCAGGCTGGAATTGCACTTCAAGGGCAGCATTTCCTACCCAAGGATGGAGACGTGTTCCACTGCAAGTGAAAGGCTGTGGATACTATTATTGAAAAGTAGGATTGGACGTAGGCTAAGGTAATTTACACTTTCTTATTGCACAGTTGGCTTCATGTGCTTAAAGTCTGATGAGAGTCATCAGGTGGCAGGGGAAGCTCTGAGGAAGCACCAAGGAGTTTCAGGTTGCTCTGGGGGTGGTGCGGCTCACCTTGGGCCTTTTTCTCGTCACTTTTGGACCCCTGAACTATTCTGCATATGTAAATGACACAGAAAATTGGAAACCAATTTTATGCTTTTCTCAAAAATTCTAATTTTCTAGATTTTTTTTTTTTTTTGGAAGCAGGGTCTTACTTGTGTGCCACTGCACTGTTTCCTTCCAGTTTAGTTTTGAGTTTGGGGCTACTCTTAGTGATGAGTTAGTTCACTGTGGAAAAGGCTCCAATGCATTTGAAAAAGCCCTAATTTAAAAGGGCACAAAGCCTGAGGACCTAGGGCCCCCCGACTGCACTGGAGATGCCCACCGTGAAAAAAGACTGTTTGTCTGGGGACCTGGGGGAGGCGTTTGGACATCTCTGGCCCCCATCAGGTATTAGCGCAGTTTCACCCAAAGTGCCAAGTTCAAAGGCAGCACTTCGGCTCAGCCCTGTGGCTCTGTCTTAGGATGGAACATCTGACAAGCAAAGAGGACTGATTCACTAGTATTTCTGGTAAGGTGGAAGCAAACTTAAAGTGAGTGAGGTCATTTTTCATGGGCTCATGTCACCTTTCAATCAAATCCTTATTCATTTCTGAAAATTTTACTTTCATTACAGTTCTGCTTAAGGCTCAGTCAACCAAGATTTCATGACAAAAATGGATGGTTTTGTTCTAGTTCAAGAAAAAAAAAATCAAACCTACCTCTCTGCTCAGCTTGGCTTCTAGTTCAGAGGTTTCTCTGTTAATCAAAAGAGCTGCAATACACCTTTAATGCTGTTCAGTGGTTAAAGACCAGGCTCAAAATGTCTCTGCGCTTGAGGATTTAAATTTAGCCCCATAAAGAGATGCTTGTGTAGAAACTGTAAAGAATGTTCAATTTGTTCTATTTGGAGAAAGATTTTACTGGAAATAAAAATTTTCACTTAAAAGATGTTTTATGGAGTACAGATGGGGAGAAACCATCTAAAGAACACAGCCATTATTTCTGTGAACTGAGGATTTCTGTGCTCAAGTCAGAACCTGCTGGTTCTTTCTACCTGAGGTCTTCATTCTCCCCTTGTGTTAACTTAGTCCCCTCCACTGCTGCTAATTGAAATATCCCAAAGGATTATAACCTTGTGTTAGGGGTCACCAGGAAGAGCACATCAAACTCTCATACTGCAAAGGTCCTTATCAGAGTTTTTCTAATAATAGTGCTATATTTAAAAATCAATTAAATATAGCAGAGGATGGTAACATCTCTTCCTCAAAGTGGAAAGTTTTCCACTGTGTGTGTTATCAACATTTCTAGGTCACATCTCCTAAGAAGCAGCCACGTCCCAGCAACAAGGAAATGACAGAAATTACGGGCATTTGTTGGTGTTGTGATCCTTATGTGAAATCTGTCAATTCTGTCATCAATATTCATCCTGAGAGCATTTTGGCAAGCAAAGAAGCTGCCTTTGAATATTTATAACATACTTCAAGGTTGCAAAGCTTAGGTACCTGCAGTGGCCGGGCAAAGGACAGAGGTGGAATTAGTGAGGTGGACATCAGGAGTCGCTACCCCAACCCCAATGTACCAGTTGGCTGCTGACATTTGCAAATGTTGGCCTGGTGGAATTTGATCCCCACCCCAACACAGGGCTGAAAACGTGAGCTTTTCAGTGCAAATGTCCATGTCAGGGTGGCGGGACAACACGACTGGCCAATGGGACAAAGCCAAAGTCAAGAGGAGTAACTTCTGGTGCTGAGCCGTGCAACGCACTGACTGTGCTGAACAGTCTTGTAGGGAATATCTGAAACTCACCAGAAGAGAGGGCTGTGAATATTCCCTCTGAGTGGTGATGCGCATGCTAAGTATTCTCCATTACTACACACTCTATACATGTATCAAAACAGCACACTGTTCTCCGCAAGTGGACACACTTATGTGTCTTTGAAAAAAACAAGTTTCAATTTTAGCAATCAGTTCAAAAATTTTAAAATTCTGCACTGGGAAAAAAAAACAAAAACAAGCCTGCCTGCCAGTGGCCTCAGGTACAAAGTGATACCTGGAGTATAAGGAAAGGAAGTGACTCTGAGGGTCATGCGGCCATTGGAGTGTTCTGTGCACTGTGGACCGTGAAGGCTGCATTCGTTCATCCCGTCTCACTGCTGATGCTGAGAGGTGAATGTGTTCCTGGACACACTGGGGCAAACAGTAAGCTGCCAAAAGCAAGGGTGTCAGCTGGGCAAGGGGGTGCATACCTGTGAGCCCAGCACCCTGGGAGGCTGAGGCAGGAAGATCGAAAGTTCGAGCCGCGCATGGGCAACTTAGCTGGGGGATGCAGCTCAGTGCAAAGGCCCTGGTTCAAATCCTCAGTAGTGAGGGCAGCTGGATGACTGAGGTGCATTGCAGTGCTTTAGCAACCTGGTCATTTTGTGGGTGGCAGCCTGCTGCGGAAGTGTGCATGGCCTTACCTAGCTCTGCCATGGACACGGTCGGGGAGGTCTCTCCATTGGTGAAGGAACAGTAGGGAAAGAAGCCGGATGCTGGTGTGTAGTCACAAATGGGCTCGGGTTTGATGCCATTGATGTCCAGCCCCGACTGGTCTGGGGAGGGCTGGATGTCCAGGTAGAAGCTGCTGACGGCTGAGTCGGCCTTGCTGCCCTCGGGGGTGTGCCCGTCCATGTAGGTGCTGAGGTCCTCGTGGAGCTCCGTCAGCCCATTGGCCGAAATGCTGTAGGTGGGCGTCAGCGGCTCGGCCTCCCCGGGCTGCTGCTGGTGGTCTCGCTGCTGCTGCTGCAGCCGGTGCTTCTGCACCTCTGCATACAAGCTGTCTCTCTGCTTCTTCGACATCCGCCCGAACTTCACAGCTGGAAGAGAAAAGCCGCCTCAGTCCTAAGCCCCACGGCCACAAAGTCAGACACTGTCCCCTTGTCAAAACCATCCTGCCCCACACAGGCCGGCTCCATCCCTCTCTGGCACACACACTCAGGAAAAGCCATGTCTCAGACCCAGCACCTGCAGGGGCATCGCTGGAGCAGCCGGCTCAGGGAGGGTACCCCGAGATGTAACTTAAGGGGCTTGTTCACGCTGCACCATGCAGCCAGCCTGGACCTTCTCCTGTGCCAGTGCTCAGCCTGGGATGCACAGTCCCCCTAGATACACTGAGGCAGAGTTGTCAGGCCTCCACTTTTGTCTGACTCTTCTCTCTGCTCAAATGAGTTCCTTCTGTGTCAGACAGCTGCACCTGCGGCTTCCTGCAGAGGCCCGGACAGACTGCATGAGGCTCTAATTCTCCGAATTACAGCACCTCTGACTGGCCCTGACCTAAGAAGTCCCCTCCTCCACTCATGGTCCCTGGAAGCCCCTGGGAAATCCTCAGACCCATCTTGAAGTGACAGTTTCTGCTGTTCTCATGTATCTTCCAGTAGAGCACTGTATTAGATTCCCGTTGGGTGGATTTGCATCTATAACGCTTCTCCTTGGAATGGGCCCCTGTATTTAAAGTGGAGCAATGGCCTCAGCAACTTTCCAGATTAATCAGAATCTGTTTCTCCTGAAGTGGGGGTGGGGTCAGAAGCCTTTGATTGCCTGCTCTGAATTCTCCCTCTAAGTTGCTTCAGCTGGACTCTTACCTGCAGCTAAAACCTCTGCTGGGGGCCCTAGTTCCCCTAACTGTGGTTAGTTAGTCCTGATTACGGAGGTGAACCTGTCCTGTTGACCATCATCCTGGCTACCCGAGTCTGGGGCAGGAGAGATGGAAATGGAGGTGGTGTCCGTCCACCCACCAGGTGGGGGATTCTCCTGCTGCTGAGGGGAATGTGCTGCCGCTCTGCACAGGGAAAACAAATGAATGGAGAACACTGGCCAGCTGTCATTTGCTACCACTTAGGTAAGGACGTTAGGTGGCACTGCTTTGACAGCTGATGTGGGCTCCGGATTTCAGGACTGTGACTTTATAAGCCTCCAGATTCTTTCCATACCCACAGTTGTTTGTTCTGTCTCTCCCTCCCATCTTTCTTTCTCTCTTTTTCGTAGTACTGGGGATTGAACCCAGGCTACTGCATAATAGGCAAGTGCTCTACCACTGAGCTACAGCCCTGGCCCTTTGAAAAAATTTTTTTATTTTGACACAGGGTCTTACTAAGTTTGCAGCCGGGCTTCCACCCTGCCATCCTCCTGCCTCAGCCTCTTGAGTAGCTGAGATTGTAAATGTGCACTGCCATACCTAGCTTGTGTTATTTCTTTCTCTCTCTCTCTTTTTTTTTTGGTACCAGGAATTGAACTCAGGGCCTCATGCTGAGTTATATATAAAAATTCCAGAAGGTATCCTGAGGGCACTTCATTTTCTGAAAAAGATTACTCTCAGAAACCCAAGGGAATTAATACCCAGAGGTGAAACTTACTCTGCTGTGAGACTCCACAGTTGTGTTTTAACTTTAACATCAACACCAGTAATCTTATCATCCAGAAAGCGAAGTAAAGGGGCCAGCTCCTGAGAAAATGCACCTACCACCTGTGACTTTAACTTTCAGGCTCCTAAGTGAACTAATGATTTTAACCCCAGGTTGGTAAGGAGTACACCTAACTTTGTCACCCTGGTGTCACTGTAAGGTGAACTGCAGAGCTGCGTGTCTTGGGAATTTCTGAGAATACAGTATAAGTTCTGTGACTGAAGTCTTTGGATGACAGAAACTTTTCTAGTGGCGGATAGGGTGGCCATGCAGACCGTAGGAATAGAAGTGGACTTGTTCCTGGCGGGTCCACAGACCCTGGGTACCTCTGATTCTGGGGACGCCAGGCTTCCCACTGACTGAAACTCCCCTGGATGGGACCTTTTCCTTCAAAGGGATCTCTGAAGACAGCAGCTGATATATTTGGAAAAGTCCTTAAGACGGACTAGCTGTACTTTCCGCCTAATTTCCCTATATAAGAATAACCGTCTTGAAATCTGGTGTTGATTATTCAGTGCACTTAAGATAGTTTTCCAGGAGGATCTTAAAATGTCTGTAAGAACAGTAGACAGTCTCTAGTCCTTAAAATAGTGCAAATGCTCATTTCATTAAGAGAAGCTATTTCCACACATTCTGTCCGAACAAATATTTGACTTTGGCCTGGGATTCCAAAGATCCAGTTAGCACAACAGCTACTTCATCCCTGCTGCCAGTAAACTCACTAGCGTAAGGCAAGTGATGATTGTCTTGTGTTTTCTGCGGGGCTGCTTGTGGGAAGGGTAGGTATCAAGGCCCTCAGATGACGCTAACCTTCATCCACCTGTCATGTCTGAAGTGTCAAAAACCCCAGGGACTTCTCAGTGTCAGACCCTCATCCTCTGAAGCTCCCCGCAGCCACTCTGCTGCCCCTAGTGGTATGTGGAGAGAAGGCAACTGCTGTGGATTCCACAAAGCTGAGGAGCCAGGGTGGGGCCCTGCACTGTCTCAACTCCAGGCCACTGTGGCAGTCAAGCTGCACACACTCACCATCTCGAGACATCCCCACGGCGAGACATTTCTGCAGCCGACAGTGCTGGCAGCGGTTCCTACTGGTTCGATCAATCAGACAGTTCTTCTGACGAGGACAGGAGTAGGTGGCATTGCTTTGCTGACTTCTCCTGAAAAAGCCCTGTGATTCAGTTATAAAATATAAAACAGGTTAGTGTCAGTTCCACGGGTAGGACACTAAACGCAGTATGCTAAGCACTGAGCGGCATTAATATTTAATGGAGAATTAAACTTGTAGCAGCATCATCCAGGAGACCATTAATGAAATTAAAGTCACTTCTTTTTCCTTGAGTAAAAGTGATCCCCAGAGCCTCATCTTCCATCCCTTACACATGCAGAACTTTCTTTAACTGCACGACACTTGCTTATGTCAAAGGCAGGAGATCGGCTCCCGTTCTTGGCTTCAAATGACCAAAAGCAATGAGTTTGATGAGATGATGAAAAGAGATTTATCTTTAAACTTTACATTGAAAGTATTTTTAGTTCAGTAAACACAAATATTCCTCTGGGATGCCCAGAGTCGGGGCAAATGCAACTGTGTGCAGTCCTGGTATGCACAGTGGACTCTGGTGGCCGATGGGTCAGTGGGAATGGGCCTCAATCCCGGTTAGTTTGGAAATACCAGTGAGCAGAACCATGGCCTTCAAGATTTGACAGATCCAAGCTGATGTTCCTCAGGGTTCTTCTGCATGTTAAGCACTGCTTTGCAAACGAGAGCATGTGCAAAAGCAGCTACTCATGGACCCCGAGAATCCTATTTTTATTAACTCTCAGCACTACGTATTCTCAGCTCATTGATTCTTAATATTTACTCTCTTATAAAACTACAAGTTTTCCTTTTAGGCATGTTTCACCAGCAGCCTATAAGCTTTACTATGTACTATTTTCATTATCATTCACTTGAAAATGTGTCTGAATTCTCCATAGATTGCTTCTTTAACCCATCCATTCCTTAGAAACCTATTTCTTAATTTGCAAATATATGATGGGTTTGGGTTATCTTTTTATTATTGGCTTATCTTTCAGTGGGGTGTTTTTTTTTTTTGTATCGGGGATCGAACTCAGGACCTTGCACTTGTGAGGCAGGTGCAGGGCCACTGAGCTAAATCCCCAGCCCCTTTTTTAAGCGAGGCACAACACAGAAGAAAAATAAGGTAACCAGTCATTTCTATGATGCAGCCCACAAGGATATTCTTCATAGCACTACCTATAATATGAAAAAATTTAGAAGGATCCTAGATGTCCAACATTAGTGAACCAAAAGTCCTACTGTATACCCACCCTTACAGTGGAATTCAGCCCCTGCAAAACAATGGTAGTTCAGAAATGCAATTACTGTTAGAAAGAGGTCAGAAAAATATACTGGAGAATTTTTAAAAAGCAGCTAAAGAGCTAAACGGTGTAATTTTTTTTAAAAAAGGAACCCACATATTTAACTGAGAAGAAACTTGGAAAATTATGCACCAAAGTGAGAACTGTTGGTTTGGTGGGTGGGGTCCCAGGTGATTCAGAATTTTTCTGTTTGTTTTCTGGTTTTTTTCCTACACTATTGCAATGGAAGGACATGTGAGGCAAGAGCAGTCTAGTACCTCCAGTTCCTTGTGTGGGTGACCAGGGGGCTTCATGGGCCAGGGCGATATGTATGGTGTGTGTGACTTTGGTCCCCAGTTCTTTGCTTTTGGGGATGGGGGGCGGGGCAGGAGCCTGGCCTCTCACCCCTTCCCGCACTCCACTAAGCTGCTTGCTAACTTAAACACGGGCGAGGCCAGGGGCCCAGCATCTCTGACTCTCTATTTGACTTTAAATCTGGCCTCTATCAGGCCTGGCCTCTTCTATAAAGCAGTCTCTTCTCAGAAGAGCTGTGGGCTATGTGTTGTCCTCTGTGAAGAGGAAGTAAGAAGTGAATCCCTCTTTGGGGATGAATGGAGAGAATTCAAGAATACACGAACCGGGAACGTCAGTCCTTGGAAAGAGGTATCAAGGTCACCTGGGGAGGTCTGCTGTGGGCAGAGATGCAGCTCCCTATCGGAGCTGCAGGGTGTTCTATCTCTCGCTCTGGACAAGTAGGGCTTAGCTGTTGTTAGTGGGGGCTGAATTTTGTTAGCTTCGCATTCAGCCCATTAACAGTTGGCTCAATGACTGTCATTGTCCATCTTCTCTTTTCCTTCCAGTGGAACCATCACCCTAGGCCACCAGACCGTCTCCTGGACCTCTGCAGACCCCCTCCCAGTGTTTGTCACCTCTCCTCCTAGGTTCTTTTCCACCTCTCGTATTTCTTCTCAGGATCCTCTCCAATTCCGTCACTTCTTTCAAAAGTCTGAAATCCAGAACTAGGCCCAGCTCTGGAGTAATGGTCGGGTCAGTAACAAAACCATGCTACATTACCTCAGTTCCCATCTATTAATTTACCTCACACCAGCCATAAATAAAGTTCTGGGATGCTGGCACCGCAGCCTTATGTGACCCCAGCCTGTTCTGTCTGTAGAAGCTCGGAGAGGGTGTCATGACGGTAGGCCTTAATGTGTGCTTGCATTACTCACATCTTTTCATTCTGGGTTTTTGTTTTGCAGTATAGCAGTGGAACCTCACACTTCTGCACTGAGCTATGACTCCAGCTCTTCTTATTTTTTTTGTTTTGAGACCAGGTCTTGCTAAGTTGCCCAGGCTGGGCTTGAACTTGAGATCCTCCTGCCTCAGCCTCCCAGAGTGCTGGGGTGATGGTCCTGTGAAACCACACACAGCTTTATTCCGTATTTCTGATGCTCTGATATCTTAGGGCCCTGCTGACCCTGAGGTAGTGCACTACCCTGGGCTACCTGATCCCCACAGAGAGCAAGCATACTGCCTCAGGCCTTTCCATACAAGCCTGAACCTAGACACCCAACCACCTCCCTTATTGGGCACTCTGCTTCCAGGGTCTGTTCCCCCGGCATCTCCAGCCCAGAGCCACAGCCAGGCAGCAGCAGCAGCTGCAGCAGCAGAGCCACGCCCCAGTGCCTGTAACGATGACAGCCAGGCTGCTACCCTGCTGCACACTGCCTTCCTGTGGGAACCCCACAGAGGCCCTGGCCCAAGTTTTCCTGTCACTCTCCTGCTCTGGATCCCCCGGTGCTCCTGTGGCCCTCATGGCGGGCCTGGGGCCTGTGTGTAGGGATCTGTGAGCGTCACAAATGGCTTCCTCATGGTGGCTGTTTCCGTATCCAGGGAGCGGGGATGGTGGGTCGCGGTAGCAGCACTTCCTGCGTGCCAGGCACTGTGTGCCCCGCAGTGGCACACAATTTCACGTTAACAGGCACAGGCACTGACTCCCCTTTCCCTGTTATGAGGCGAACAGAGCCGAGCCCACCTGAGGTGCAGTGACCTGGCGCGGACCCACCCCGCACAGGAAGTAGAGCCCAGCGTGAATTTCGGGGCTTCCTTCTCGAGCGGCGCTGTTGGCCTTGGCGTTGGAAGAGTCCCGTCTCGTGAGCTCAGTCGGTGTGAACCGGCTCGCCAGGCAGCCCGGGGCCCCAGGCCTCACAGCAGACCCTCCTGTGGCTGGCCCGGGTGCAGCCCACAAGCAACGCGAGAAACAGCCTTCCGATGCCATGGTTTTGGGGCTTTATGCTCTGGCCGGGTATTATTTCACTTCAGCACGTAGCTTTGCAGGGCTGGGGCCTGACGCGGAGTCACACAGACGCCCCCTTTCGTCCTCTCACCCCTGTCTCAGCCGCACCGCAGACAACCGAGGAGCTCGGCGCAGGCAGCGGTGTCTCCACAGCCGCCCGGGTGTCTGCACCGTCACCGTCCCCGCGAGGCCCAGCCAGGTGCCTGCTTCCCAGCCGAGCGGTCTCCTCACAGGAGGACATTTGTTTAGACGTCTGGGTTTGGGGGTGCACGCAGGCGCGCCCGCTCTTCAGCCTCGTCCGCTCAGCTCCGCAGGGTGCACGACGAAGGGCAGAGCGGGCTTCCTGCTCTAGCCATGCGGGCTTGGTGGGGCTGTCAGGACACGGCGGAGACAGGAGACGCCGGGAAAGCCTCGCGTCACCGAAACCCCGAGCCCTGCGTTGCAGGAAATGAATAGTGGCCAGCTTTCTTTCTATAAATGTTTTATTAGTACATATATCCAATACATAAGGAATATTCATCGTGGGGTGTTGGTACGTCCACACAGCTCATCTGAATCCTTTTTACTCCTTTCCTTCCTCCATCCCTAGGTCTGCCTCCCATCCGCAAAAGGTCTACTTCCATGTTTCCTATTGTCTTATTTTTCTCTATAAATAATGTATACTTTGGCTTCCTCATCAAAGGGAAGCCATGTGCTATTTAATCTTGTTTGATATATTGAGCTTAACATTATGGTCTCAAGATGCATCCATTTGCCCGAATATGACTCAAATTTATCCTTCTTTATGGCTGAGTGCTACTCCATTGTGTGTATATACCACAGAGGCCGCTTTTTTTTTTTTTAAAAAAAACCTTTTCAGCGTGCCTTGGGGGTTACTCAAGTTTAAGCATTTGGGAAGTTGAACTGATAAAATGCTAAAGCTGAAGAACACGCATGAGAGGAGGAGGAGGAGAGCGGAAGAAAAGTGGCGAGTATAGGTGGTACCTTCTGACCTACAGGTAGAGAAGCAGGGTGTGTTCTGGTTGGGAGCAGTCCTGAAGCAAGTCCCTCTGAGAAATGAGTACCTGAGCTGCAGGGGCCGGGGCAGCTCATGATGGTGCCGGCAGCATGGGGAGGACCTGGGAAGCCCGTACCTTAAGGAAAGCGCTGAAGGTGTAAGCTCACTGGGATGGCTACTGAGCACATAATTTTGTACCTATGTCGAAAAGATGAGCTCCTAAGGAGCTTTTTGGTTTTCATAAAAGCATGGTTTTTATGGATATCAAAATACATGGGGATGTGCAGTTACAAAGATGGTGGGCTGGGGCAGAGCCTTCGCGATGAACTTTAGGTACTGCTACTTAGTGCAACAGCGGCACACTGCCGCCACCTGGTGGCCGTACACGAACATGCAGTCATTCCACAGACATTCCTTCCTTCCTCTTGAACCGGAAGTGGGAAGTGGAGGTAGTAATCAGGTCCAGTAGTCATCAATCAGAGTCACCGGGAAGCTTTTAAAAATACACTTTTAGATT